CCCTCCCCCCTCCCCCTCTCCCTCATCTGTGTTTATCCTGGTTATACAGATGAGGAAACTGAGCTTTGGGGAGGTCCCTGGGAAATTCAGTTACATGGCGAAGACAGAATTAGAACTCAGGTCCTCCCACTGCTAAGGAACAGGTAGGGGGCCAGGACACCTATGCTGTGACCTGAGTTTGGCCAAGTGTACAGCTGGGGCAGCCTTCCTTGGCTGTGTTGGAGAGACAGGAGTGTGCGACTAGAGAGGGATTCTGTGAAGACACTGAAGAAAATGTACTATAACACCTTATTAATCAAGAGCTATTTCAGCACTTCAAGATAGAAAAGCGCTTTCATCAGAGAACAGCTGTTTAAGGTAGAACACTGGGATATAGTTTCCCCTACTACAGATGCTCTAGAAGTTGAGGCAAACCTGTCCAAGGTCCCAAGTGGGAAGTGGTAGGACTGAGATTTGAATCGGGCTTGCTAGGTTCCAATTTTCTGCCCTTTTCACTATAGTATTTCCCTCTAATATCCTGCCTTCCTATCTGTAAATTTGACTTGAGGCCACACAGACTACTGAAAAATAAATGCTTCACAGTCTGCTGGATATTCAGATCCATTCTCAGCTCCCACTCTACCACTTCTTTGTAGCTCTGGCAGTATCTGTGTTCCCCTGAACCTCAGGAAGAGAATATGAGATTCTTCTTTTGTGTTTAGTATTAAAATATAACCATATAATTTTCCAGACATAAATGTAAAGCAGTGGGACATAATTAAGTGAATACTGCATACATTTAAACTAATGCTGCTCATGACACAGCAGTGGTCATGAAAGTTAAGGTTTTACTGAACAGGATACAAAATATGAATCAGGAGTGTGGTGGAGCTGCTAAAAATAGTGGATGGGATCTTAGGCTGCTGGAACTGAAGTCTGGACTTTGGAAAAAGTAAAGGGGTGGTGATCCCATTTCCTTTATGCCAGTCAGGCCATACCAGGAGTTCTGGGTCTACTTCTAGGCCCAGGGGTGGGGAACCTTTTTTCTGCCAAGGGCCATTTGGATATTTATAGCATCATTTGAGGGCCATACAAAATTATCAACTTAGAAATTAGCTATGGAAAAAGCTCCTAGATTTATTGAATTTTGAGTCCTGCCTGTGGTTGCCTTGGCAGGGCCAGACCAAATGATTTTGAGGGCTGTATGCAGCCTGTGGGCCAGATGTTCCCCACCCATTAGACACACACTCTGCAAAAGGATGTGGAAAAACTAGAGCTTGTCAAACAGTGACCAGGATTGGGAGGCAGAGGAGGAAAGGGACCAGAGAGACTTCCCTTCCAGAATGGGCCCCTGGCTGTAACTATCTGAAGGGCTTTCCTGGAGAAGAGGGAGTAGATTTATTTTGTTTCTCTCCAGAGTGAAGCACTGAGGCAGAATGGTGGAAATGACACAATTGGAGACACACTTAAGAAAGAACTTTCTGACAGTTTGGGTTGTCCATCCATGGAATGGGTTGCTTTGATCAGTAGTGGGCTCCCTGGTACTAGATATGTGCTAGCAGAGGCCATCTGGTGACTTGATGAGAATGTTGAAGGGATATTCAGTCATCAGATTGAAGGTGGAACTAGATGCCTTTTTAAATCTTTTTGGATCCTCAGTTCTCAAACTTCACAAACAAACACAAATGCATATGGAGGGTTGATACATCTACCATTTACCAGAGGGTCCAGGATAATCTCATATGGTCACCTCCTTAATGATTGTAGTGACTTCATATATCCTATAGCTAAGGGCTGTGTAGTCTAATGCAGGGAGCACCCAGAGGTTTCCTGTCTCTCTAATTCTGTCTTTGTGATTCTGCCTCCTCCTCATTTTTTCCCAAATTATGCTTCCAGAAAAACCCCAGGACCTTCCCTAAGCCTAGGGGATAGAGAACTGGAATGAGAAAACAGCCTCCTTAAGCAGGCAGGCATAGGGATGGGGCACCTTGGGACCACGAGATCATTTTTATCCTATCTGTTTTGCCCTTGGTCCACAAAGAGGCTTCCAGCCTCAAATGTGCTACCCAGACACACCTGTTTATAGTTCCACTGGGCATTTTCCTCCTACTTGGAGAGTGCCTGGTTCTCCATGTCCCAGACTTTCAGGCTGGGGAACAGGTGACTTCTCAGGAAGAACACAAACCAGTGTGGACATTTCTAGCTCAAATCTGTGAGCAAATTCTGTCATCTTGTAGCGACAAGGGGCTACGTCTTATGTGGCCACAGAATTTGGAGGTCGAATACACATTCACCACACACACTTGAGACGGAGTTGAGGCAACAAAACACTATTTATTGGAGCATTAAGTAAAACAGACAGAGTAAAGCAAAGTAAGGCAAAGAGTAAAGTAAGTCCTCACCACCCGAAGAGTGTTTCCAAGATGCAGGGGAACTGAGGCAGCGCCTTGGCCGCAGGGTGTCCGGCAAGTGTCCCTGTTGGAGAGTTCCGACTAGGGCCCCTCGGGAAGCTATTCTTACAGGATTTCTTGTAAGTGCTTGATTTATGGTGTTTTCTATAGCAACAGGGCAACCTACGTGTGGTTACCATAACCGTGTGTGTGGGGGGGCATCTCTACGTGATCCTATTCATGCATTCCACTGGTGGGTCAGCTATTGGTCACCCTGGAAGGCTGGTGAGGCTGTCCTGAGCTCACTGCTGCTAACAAAGGAGTCAATGCCCGGGTGCTGCCCTGGCAGAACGTTCCTAGAACACAAGTGGAAGGCACAAAGGGACACCTACTCCCTATTGTCTTAACACATCTCTACCTGCAACCTATTCCTCACCCAACAGCCTGGGTGGTTTATTAAAAAGTAAATTAGAAGGTTCCCCTGTTATAATTTATAATTAATAGGACATCCCAAGTGTCCAATTCCCTGCTAACCTTCCTCAGCTCATCTACTACTCTGCATACGCTGTGGGAGACAGAATAATGACCCTCATAGATGTCCATGTCCTAATCCCCAGAACCTCTGTGTAGCAAAAGGGAGTTTGCAGATGTGATTTAGAAATCTTGAGATGGGAAGATTGTCCTGGATTATCTGAGTGGGCCCAATGGAATCCTGAGGAGACAGAAAGGTCAGAGGGAGAGAAGATGATGTGACAGAAGCAGAGGTTGGAGCTATGTGCTTTGAAGATGGAGGCAGGAGCCACCAGCCAAAAAATGAGGCAACCTTGAGAAGCTGGAAAAGACAAGGAAACTGATTTCCCCCAAGAGTCTCTAGAAGGAACAGCTCTGGCGACACCTTTTAGCCCTATAAAACCCATTTCATACTTCTGATCCCCCAAACCTGAAAGATTATAAAGTTGTTGGGTTTTTTCCAATTCATCTTATTGTGGTAAAATACATATAACATTTACCATCTTAACCATTTTAAGTTAAGTGGTATTTAATACATTAATAATGTTCAACCAGCACCATCCCCTATCTCCATAAATCTTTTCATCTTGTAAAACTGAAACTCTATGCCCATTAAACAATAACTCCCCATTCCACACTCCCCTAGCTCCTGGAAACTGCCATTCTACTTTCTGTCTATAGGGATTTTGACTAGGTACCTCATGTAAGTGGAATCATGCAATATTTGTCTTTTTGTGACTGGCTTATTTCATGTAGCATCATGTCCTCAAAGATCATCTATGTTGTAGCATATGTCAAAATTTCCTTCCTTTTTAAGGCTGTATAATTTTTCATTGTATGGATATGTCACGTTTCGTTTATCCATTCATCTGTCAGTGGACACTTGGGTTGCTTCCAGCTGTTAGCTATTGGGCATAATGCTGTTGAGAACATAGGTGTACAAATATCCCTTTGAGACTTAGTTTTCAATTTTTTTTAATCCTCACCTGAGGATATTTTTTTCCATTGCTTTTTCAGAGAGAGAGAAACATTGATGTGAGAGAGACATCAATTGGTTACCTCCTGCATGGGTCCCAACCAGGCCAGGGATGGCACCTGCAACCAAGGTACGTACCCTTGGCCAGAATCAAACCCGGGACCCTTCAGTCCGAGGGCCGATACTCTAACCACTGAGCCAAACCTGCTAGGGCAGTTTTCAGTTATTTTGGGTGTATATCTAGAAGTGAAATTGCTGGATCATATGATACTTCTATTTTTAATATTTTGAGGAACCACCATACTGTTTGCTACAGCAGCTGCACCATTTTACATTCCTACGAACAGTGCACAGTTCCAATTTCTCTATGCCCTATCAACACTTTTTTTTTTTTCATAGTAGCCATCCTATGGCTACTAAGGGTGTGAAGTGGTAATTTGTGTTGTTTTGAGCCACTGAGTTTGTAGTAATTTGTTACAGCAGCAATAGGAAAGGAATATATTCTGCTCTTCTCCTGGATCTTAGTGTGGTGGTCTCCTTAGCCATCAGGTCTCCAGCTCAGATGCTGCTTCCTCAGGAGGGCCTTCCCAGATCACCCTCCTGTTATTTCTTCTTTCAGTGCAACT